ACCACACTCAACTTTATGGCAGATTGTATTGCTGTCTGTCCACACCACTCCAGCCAAATGGCTGGTCTCTTGATGTTCTCTTGAAGCCAGCATAAAGAAAGGACCCTTACTGTGCATCTCAAGGAGCTGTGTGTTTATGCCTGTTCTGGATCTAATGGGTAAACTGTGCAGTCTGGTAGTGACAGGTGAATATGAGTTAGCAGTGTGCCCTGACAGCCAGGAGGGACAACCATGTCCTGGGTGCATCAGGCAAGGCATTACCATCCAGTTGAGGGAAGTAGTTGTCCCACTCTGCTCTGTGTTGGTGCAGTCTCACCTTGAATATTGTGTGCAGTTTTGGGCACCACAATACAGGAAAGATATTAAGCTATTAGACAGTGTCCAAAGGAGGGCAATGAAGATGGTGAAGGGTGTTGAGGGGAAGCCATAGGAGGAGTGGCTGAGGTCACTTGGTCTGTTCAGTTCAGCCTGGAGGAGTCTGAGGGGAGACCTCACTGCCGTATACAACTTCCTCATGAGGGTGAAGTGGAGGGGCAGGCACTGACCTCTTCTCTTGGGCAATCAGTGACAGGATCCAAGGCTGAAGTTGTGTCAGAGGAGGTTTAGGTTACATATTAGAAAAAGGTTCTTCACTCAGAGAGTGATTGGGCACAGCTCCCCAGGGAAGTGGTCACAGCACCAAGACTGACAGAGTTCAGAAAGCATTTGGACACAGCTCTCAGGCACATGGTATGATTCTTGGAGATGTCCTATGCAGGGCCAAGTCCAAGAGTTGGACTCCAAGATTCTTGTGGATCCCTTCCAACTCTGAATATTCTGTGATTCTGTGACAGCAGATGGTGATCACAAGATACTTCATTCAAGACAATCTTTTGGTAACACTCATGATTTTTATTTAGTTTTTGCATCTGGGATTAGGAAAGAGGAAGAGGGAGCCAGCTGCTCCTCTAGCCCTGCAGGGTGAATGAACACTGGCAGAGCCCAGGAGCTAACAAGGGCCCTTGAAGATTTCCTGTGTGTCATACAGCAGCAGAAAAAACAAACTGAGCTGCTGCTGGTGACCTGCCTGAGAGCTATGGATGAGGTAGGCTGCAAGGCCACAGAAGCATGAATAAGTTGATAGGACAATACAAGAGCAGCAACGTGACTTTGAACCATACTTGGAATTACGACTTTCCCGTTACAGGAAACTGAACAATCTGATAAGGTTACAGCTGCCAGTTATCAGTCCTCTCCGAGGACCTTAGATAAGGCAAATCTGAATCACATAGCTTATGACTGTACCAAAATCTGTGCCACTGCAAGAAATGGACCCAGTGTTGCTGAAAAAAACCAGACTTCCCATATAAAAGTCAGCAAGCAATTAAATAGCAAGAATAAGTTGAAACCGGAAGAGTTTTGGGTGTGAGGGCAAACTAAAAGAATTTTGCATCCCTCTTCCATGAATTTAATGAGTTCAGGGGAAAAAAACCTCATCTCTGCAGTGGGATGGCAAAGCAACTTCCATTTGGGAAGAAAACCGAGAAGATCCTGATGTCCTTTGGCACAGGAGTAGCAGGAAAAGAGGAACAAGCATCTCTTTTGATTATCAGCGATTTCTGGCAGTTTCTGAAAGGAGCCCTATCCAAGGTGTCACTGGGGAGGACTTACACCTACAGAGGATCTAGCTAAATAATCAAAGGCCCCATCATTCTCATTGCTAAACACAGGACCTCAGGGCAACATGATCTGTTAATCTGTGCCAGTGTTTCTGTGCTGCTGTCTGTGGTGTTTTGTGTATGAGTGATGAGATACAAATTTAGAAATCAGCTCTATTTTTCTACCTATATATGGGCAGGTTTTTTACCCCCCCCAAATCCATTTTATAGCTGTAAAATAGCAAATGTAGTACAAAAAATGAATAAGCTAAGTTAGGTCTGTAGGGGCTCTCCTCTATTATTAGACCAACTGATACAGCTGAAACAAACAGACAATCTTTGAGGCATATGATTTACCTTTGGGTCTGACCTGCAGCTTGTTTTTTTCCTGGCTGTAATTAGCAGTATAATAAAAGATATCTCTCCTCCTTAAAAGACTTGCCTCTCTTCTACTCCTAGACTGCAGTGGCTACAACCACCTAAACACTGCCACAAACAGACCAGAGTTTAGGACCCAGAGCCCTGTTTTAGGCTTACGGGATGTGACAGCTGACTGAAAATCAATGAAGTGTGATTTACCCAGCATCATAATGAGGGCAAGATAAGGCTGGAAAGGTGCTGCCTTGTCTCGCAGACTCAGTTCTCCGCCTTGATTTTTAAGTAGATTGTTTTAGTCCTCTACTAACATGAGACCGACTTGCTTATGAAAACAGAAGATCAGATTTAAAGGAGAAGCCACGGTGGTGCTCATGCTTTGCGTAGTGCTCTTTGCTCTGTGTCTGAGCCGCTCAGGTAGGTGC